CCTGCATGCAGCGTGACACCAAGAGCGATAGCCATACTCCACACTCCCTGCATGCAGCGTGACACCAAGAGCGATAGCCATACTCCACACTCCCTGCATGCAGCGTGACACCAAGGGAGCTTTTACGGTACTTTCGCTTTTCCATTGACTTCCGGTTGAGTACCAGTACCGAAAGTTCCAGTACCGAAAGTGTCGAACCAGCTGGGGTACTTCTTTGGTACTTGGGTACTTTGGGGTGGGACATAGAAACGTATTTGCTGTGGATTGGTTATGCAAACAGCCTGCCGCTGAAATACAAAATACACACAGCAAACAGCGAGAAACTAAATAAAAAGCAGTAGAAACAAAAATATAAAAAAAGTAAAACGGAAGGATGGACAAACGAGGTAACACAGGCTTTAATCGCCATATGGTCGGATGAACAGATCCAGCGGGATTTGGATGACACAACTCGGAATAAAAAAGTTTTTGAAGTGATAGCAAGCCGCTTGGAAGAAATGGGGCACACACGAAACACCAAACAATGCCACTTGAAAATCAAAAAACTTAAGCAGGACTACAGGAAAGTGAAGGATCATAATAACATGTTTTAATTCAGTGAAAGAAATACTGCATCGCGCTTTGTGATGATGTCAGTCAGGGGCGATCACTGATGATGTCATTTGGCGCCGGTACCAGTTTTTACGGCAGTGGAAAACCGACACAAAAGAAGTACCATACTTTTGGTACTTTATGGAAGTACCGAAAGTACCGAAAGTACGGTACCTGGTGCGGTGGAAAAGCGCCCCAAGAGCCAGAGCCACACTCCACACTCCCTGCGTGGAGCGTGACACTGAGAAGGGACGCAAACCCCCCAGATATCGGCCTGTAGCAGCTCTCACCTCGAAGTTAGAATGCTTGCGAACGTCGTCGTCTTGCTGGTGGCTCAGGATGACCTCAACCTCGCTGGCCACCCGTAGGAGGTGCTCACTAAAGGCATTGTTCAGCAGTCTAGGGTGTGGGGGAGCAATCAGATATCAGGGTATTAAGAGATTTTGAAATACTTTAACCAAGGGCCCCAAAATGCAGACGAGTCAAAAGCATCAATAGATTCCAGCAAGCGGGGGAATCATGTGTCCTGGATTACATTGTGTTTCAAACTGAATGAGGACCAAAGATCAAAATTTGATCCTGATCAAAATGAACAGCAAACAGGAATTACATAGTACAATAATTTGATTTAATTTACTTTCTATCTTTCAGGTTAGCAGCAGAAAGCTGCAGGTTTACTAAAGCAACATCTGGTGGTTGTGGGAGCATTAGCTGGCCTGTTGGAGAGCAGAAAGGGGGTTCAGTACCACGGGAGCATTAGATGGCCTGTTACAGAGCAGAAAGGGGGTTCTGCAGGTCACAGAGGGGTAAGGTCACATGGAGCCTGATGGTTCATCACCTGACCTAAAGCTGGGCCATTAAGGACTAACCCTCCCACCACATTATTCACATAGAAGTACAAAGCACCTATTGACAAAATGATTATCCTGGGAATTACAGTAAATGCCTGAGCGTGAGGAGCAAGCCAGCTGTCGGCGGGAGTGACACATCTCAGGCTTGTCATTTGTCAGTCCCAGACTGGTCTAATACAGGCGCACAACCAGAACCCAGAACGGGCCGGCACCGGGAGGTGACCGGGGCTTAACAAAGGTGACAGCGACAGCAGAACCCAGAACGGGCCGGCACCGGGAGGTGACCGGGGCTTAACATTGGTGACAGCGACAGCAGAACCCAGAACGGGCCGGCACCGGGAGGTGACCGGGGCTTAACATTGGTGACAGGGACAGCAGAACCCAGAACGGGCCGGCACCGGGAGGTGACCGGGGCTTAACATTGGTGACAGGGACAGCAGAACCC